CAAGTGGTGAGTGCTAGTTGAGCAAAAAGAATCTCAGGGGGCTGGGAAGGTGGCTCAGTGGTAGAGCGCTTGCCTTGCATGCATGTTGCCCTGGGTTCGATTCCTCAGCACCACATAACAAAAAAGCCAGAAGTAGCGCTGTGGCTCAAGTGGTAGAGCGCTAGCCTTGAGCTGAAGAGCTGAGGGACAGCGCCCAGGCCCAGAGTTCAGGCCCCACAACCGGACCCAAAAAAAAAAAAAAAGAATCTCAGGGGCAACACTCAGGCCCAGAGTTCAAGCCCCAGGACCAGAGAAAGAAAGAAAGAAGACCAAGCATTGTTTTTGAGAAACCATGGAGGTGCCTTTAAGTAAGGACATTTGATAAATTGACCAGCACAGCTCTGAATTCAGAATGGAGCTCATTCCTTCTAGGAAGATGCACATCATGTTGCTGTGTCTCATCTTCACCAGCAACCCTTTAAAAGTGGTATTGACCACTGATTAGTGTTCATCTTCATATCATATGCCTCTATCATTAAGAATCTCTTAGCTGAGTGCTGGTAGCTCATGCTTGTAATCCTAGCTGCTCAGGAGGCTGAAATATGAGGAGCACAGTTTGAAGCCAGCCCTGGCAGAAAATTCTGTGGGACTCTTATCTCCAACTAACCAGCAAAAAGCCATGGTAGAGCTGTGGCTCAAATGGTAAAGTGCCAGCCTTGAGCAAAAACTAAAGGACATCACCCAGGCTAGAGTTCTCTGTTTCTGTCTCCTTGTCTCTGTCTCTGTCTCTGTTTCTGTCTGTTTGTCTCTGTCTTTGTCTCTGTTTCTCTCTCACACACACATACAATGAATCTCTTACATTTAGGGTATCCTGAAAAACAGTGAAGGGAAAATGCCGACTTGGGGTACATTAAGTACACTATTACTTTGTATCAACCAAAGTGGTACATATACATATGCATATACATATACATATATGTTCTTTAATGAAAAACTGAGTTTATTCCCAAGATTCTTCAGCTCCCTGTAGAAAGGATTTCCTTTTGTCAAATCTTTACACATCTGGAGATGGGCCAATGGTGGGGGATCTCTACTATGGGAAACCACCTTTTAAGGACTTGGAATATTTTGGACAAGATGTCCATCCTCTCTCCTGAAGGCAAATATCATCTCTTTCATAATTTTTATTTGTGCAATTATACAATTATGCATATAAGTTACTTTGATCAAATTCATCTCATTATTATTCTTTATCTTCTCCTCCCTGTTAAAGCAATGCAATAGGGCTTTGTTATTCTATTTCCGTGTGTGTGTATGAAGAGCTTTGATCATACTTCATCTTCTCCTTCTCTTTTCACCCCACCCCTTCCCATGGGGGGACATATCTCACCAGGAGAGTCCTGAAAAGAAACCACCACCAACAACAACAAAATAAAGCTGCTTTCTTAATTTCTTTAAATGTAATTTGATTGTTATTATTGAGGCAATGAACTGAAGAATTACCATTTCATAAGTCAGGTAATGAGTAAAATTCTTTTTTTTTTTAAACCTCTGTATATGTCTGAAGGTAGTGAGGACTGGAACTACAGCAGGAGAAGGGAGGACCATTGGGAAGGGGACATTTCCAAGGATGGCTTATCTTTAGGGTAGGAGGGAATCTCTCAGGAGTGTCTTTTATTTTATATTTTTATTGTGTTTTTTTTTTTTTTGGTCCAGTTGTGGGGCCTGAACTCTGGGCCTGGCCGCTGTCCCTCAGCTCTTCAGCTCAAGGCTAGTGCTCTACCACTTGAGCCACAGTGCCACTTCTGGCTTTTTCTGTTTATGTGGTGCTGAGGAATAGAACCCAGGGCCTCATGCATGCAAGGCAAGCACTCTACCACTGAGCCACCTTCCCAGCCCATGAGTACATTTCTTATCAAGCATTGTTGCCTCCTCCTTTGTTTCCCCTTCCCATCCCTTCCCATCTCCCCCCTCCCCGCCATTTCCCTCCCCACTCCTCCTCCCCATGAGTAAAATTCTTTTCAGATAATGTCACCCCTTCCTTCACTATCTCTACCCTCTAAACCTGCCCCCTCTCTGGCTCAGTTTTCCTCTCTCATCCCTGCTTATAAGTTACATAGTTCTTTTTTCCACACAGCATATGCTGAATACCATGATGGCATTTGTTCACTCTTCCTCCCTCCCCCTTTTGCTTTAGAAAGTTCTTTTAAAAAGTTATTTCTGGGGCAAATGCCAGTGTAGAAATAGTTTTTAGTGTCAAGATCTCTGAATTTGTGACTCACGGTATGTTTTAAGTTTTGCAATGAAAAACGTGAACTTAGACTTTTTTTCATTTGTTTTGTTATGGAGGTGCTGACCAGTGCAGCTCAAGACTACTTTTAAGAGAGGATAAACGAGTTTATTGCTGATGACAGGAATCAGGCTAGTGCCGGAAAGAAGTTTGAATCCTGAGGGAGGGTGAAGTGGACTGACCCTCTGGACAAAGTCATGGATGGTGACCAAGTAGCTTAAAAGCAGGAGTTTATTGGATTGACTGGCCAGGGCTGACTCAACTTGGGAATGAGCAGCCTTGAACTCAAATAGCTCAGGGTTAATAAAGGCAAAAAATGCTTTCTTTTAGAGTAGATACAAGCAAGCTGATATACAGAAGCAGAACTTAGATGTCATTTTGCAAGCACGTAAATCACAACCATTCCTGAAACAAAACCATAAATACTCCTGTAACCATTTCTTGATCTTTAAGCAATGGGTGTTTTTGTTTCGAAACTACTAGTTACAGAAAAGGGGGCAGACTTCCCCTCGCCCCTGGTCTGGAGAGTCCCCATGGTGGATATCGATGGTTTTGCTACTACTTAATGAATTCCTGTAACTGGGTGTTTAACTCACTAATTTACTTCAAGCCTTTAACTTTGGAATTTCTCCTTTTAATGACTAGCCTTGAATTTTTTTTTGTTTTCTACAGGGAGATCCTGTCTTTCAAGTTTGGCCCTATTCTTAAAAATCAATCATTTTATTCTGTCTCTAATTTCACATTTTATATTCTTTTTAGGGGGTCAGCATAAGGGGAGATCCTGGGCTTTATACAAACTGGTTGTATACAAAGCGGGCAGTCATCAGATATACAAAAGGTCAGGAGGGAAATTCTGACCAGGTGGGCAATTCCTTTCTAGTTGTACAGAAATCATGGCACCAACCATGATCTTCAGATCTCAGCTTCCAGAGGAGTTAGGATTACAGCTGTGAGCCACCAGCAACCAGCCCTGAATTATTTTTAAAATGCCTTGTGGGTGGGGTGCCCTGTTGGCACATGCCTGAAATCTTAGCTATTCTGGAGGCTGAGATCTGAGGATGGTGGTTCTAAGCCAGCCCCGGCAGGAAAATGCAGGAGACACTCATCTCCAATAAACTACTCATAAAGAGTCAGAAGTGGTACTTTGGCTCAAGTGGTAGAGTGCTAGCCTTAAGCAAAAGGAGCTCAGGGATAGTGCCCAGGTCTTGAGTTCAAGGCCCAAGACTGCCAAAAACATAAATATAAACAAACAAACAAAAAACCTAGCCTTATGGGCGTCCTGCTATGCATTCAGACAGCCCCAGGTCTCCCCTAACATACATTCCAGCAACAGCCCCGAGGGCCACTTTCCTGCAGCTAGATGCTGGAAGGACTCTTCTACTTAAGTTTTACCACAAAGACACTAAAGTGATGAAATTAGTATAAGGTGGGTGTGAAGAAGACCATAGGAGTGAGTGGAACTTTCTCTTTAATGTCTTATTCTTATTTATTTTGTCGGTCGTGGGGCTTGAACTTTGGGCCTGGGTACTGTCCCTGAACTCTTCAACTCACAGCTAGCATTCTATCACTTGAGCCACAGCACCACTTCCAGTTTTCTGAGTTGTTTATTGGAGATAAAAGAGTCCCTCGGACTTTCTTGCCCGGGCTGGCTTTGAACAGCGATCTTCAGATCTCAGCCTCCTGAGTAGTTCGGATTACAGGTGTGAGCCACTGGCGCCTGTTTTTTTTTTTTTAAATTTTTATTTTATTGTACAGATGCTGTACAGAGGGGTTTCTTTAATGTCTTTGGTGGAGAATGAGACAAGTCCATTGAGGTGGCTGGCCCTGGCGTGGCTGTTTTGTTTCGTTTTGTTTCTGGTCGAGAGACTTTTGTTTGCCACAGAACGGATGAGCATCTGAGTGTTGGGTGTGAGCCTCCGTGTGTGTCTGTGCCCCGCAGGAGGAGAAGGGCACCAGGATAACAGTGCCAGGAGAGGGTCACAGAGATGGTCCCAGCCTTCTTCATGAAGTCAGTGAGGAAGAAGAGAGGAGCGATCTGGTGGTCTCACCACCGGTGGTGGCGTCAGCAGGGTACCGAGCGATGGCTGAACTCACATTTAATAAAACAGAAAGGCAGGCAGAGCCCTGAGAGGCAGGGTTGGCCCAAGTTCACGCTCCTGGGCCTTACGAGGCGGAGGGTTAATGGGGAAATCTATACAGCAACCCGAGACTGGGCACGTACGCACAGGTGTCCACGTCCACCACCAACGGGAACACGCCCGTGGACAGTCAAGGTCCTGGACAATCAGGCTGGGCAAGGCCATTGGCCATTGGTGGGGGGAAAGGAGGACCTGGAGAAGAGGGAGAGGAGGTGGTGAATCCCACCTCTGCTCCTCCACCCCTTCCTCCCTGCAGCCCGGGGTGGAAAGGCCCTTGGCTGGGTGGCGAGGGAGGAGGCCCCGGGGGCGGAGGGAGGAGACCTGAGGCCTTTCAGCCACTCCCATAGACTCTGGACTGCCGGGGGGTGGGGGGGACTGGGGTGGCTCTGTCTCCGCCTTATAAAGCAGCGTCTGGGCAGGGCGCGCGGGCGGGGAAGCCCTGGAGGCGGGGTGCCGGGCCCCGGTGGAGTCGGGGAGGGGGCGGTCACCGTGCGCGGGGGCCCCCCACCTGTGGCGCGGGGCTTGGCGACGCTGGCCGGGGAGCAGCGGGAGGGCAGGACGCGGCGGCGGGTTGGGGCCGCCGGGCTGCAGCCATGGGCCGTTACTCGGGCAAGACGTGCCGGCTGCTCTTCATGCTGGTCCTCACCGTGGTGTTCTTCGTGGCCGAGCTGGTGTCGGGCTACCTGGGCAACTCGATCGCGCTGCTGTCCGACTCCTTCAACATGCTGTCGGATCTGATCTCGCTGTGCGTGGGGCTGAGCGCCGGTTACATCGCGCGGCGCCCTGGCCGGGGCTCCCGGGCCACCTTCGGCTACGCGCGCGCCGAGGTGGTGGGCGCGCTCAGCAACGCCGTCTTCCTCACCGCGCTCTGCTTCACCATCTTCGTGCAGGCCGTGCTGCGCCTCGCCCGGCCCGAGCGCATGGACGACCCCGAGCTGGTGCTCATCGTCGGCGCCCTGGGGCTCGCCGTCAACCTGGTGGGGCTGCTCATCTTCCAGGACTGCGCCGCCTGGTTCTCCTGCTGCGTCCCGGGCCTCCGCCGCCGCCTGCAGCAGCAGCAGCGACAGCTGGACCAGGGGGGTGCTTCGGGGGGACCCCAGGGCACGGAGGGCCAGCAGGATGCGGTGACCCCCAGCGTCCCCGTCTCTGACTCCGCTGTGACCTTCCGGGGGGCTTCGGTGGAGAGCAAGCAGGAGAAGGGGGCGACCGTTTTCTCAAATGTAGCAGGTGCCTTTCGGTTGCATCCTTTGGACGGCTTTGCCCTTCCCTCCTCCTCCTCTCTTCCTCTTCCTCCATCCTCTGTCTCTCTCCTCCTTCCTGGTCCCTTCCTCCCCACCCCACGCCTTTTTCTTCCTGTCAGAAGTTCTTCCTTCCTTTCTTTTTCTTTTTTATACTCTTTGCACCCGCGTGACCTCTCTTCTCCTAACAGTATATATTCCCCCCTAATGACTTGAATTTCCTCCTCGATTTTGCGTTCTTGTTTGTCATTTGTCTTCCTCTAGTCTCTCTGTGTGGAAGTTATCGATTTTCTTAGGAATCAGTTCTTCTTGTTGAGCATTACACAACACTCCTCCTCCCGCCTCCCTTTCATCGATTACTGTCTGAACTTTGTTTCCCTCCTCCCCCTTTGGCCACCCTCTAGTTTCTGGTGTTGGGGTGGGGATGGGCTCCCCAGTTATTCTTTTTTCGTTTTAATTTGCAAGGAAGTGTGAATGAAATCCAAAGCTGGACCCCAAGCCCTTTTAGGGTCAAGGGGTACTATTGGGGTGTGTGTGTGTGTGACAGAAAGGGGCTAGTAGGAGTCTGAAATAACAAAACTTTATTTTGAGTCCATTGGTTCTTTTTGCTTGTAGAACTTATACACAACACAAGGTTTCTTCTTTGAATGCAGGTGATTCCCTGAGCACCCAGAATGAACTGGAAGAGACTATGAAAAAGGAGAAAAAGTCTGAAGCCCTGAATATCCGAGGTAGGATTGACTTTGGGTCCATTTGAAATCCTTTCCAAATGTGTGTTTTGCTCTCCACTTGTGTTTGACTTTGACTAAGTCAATGATGTGTTGGAAAGTAGGCCAGTTACCTGCACAGACTATGACCCGGGTGTCTTACCTAATGGATGCATTGATTTGGAAGGAGAAACTAGTTGCTAATGATTTATCTTTGCTCTTGTTGGGCCCAACATATTGCCCCTGCTCCTGAGTTCCATATAGCACTGCCTTCTTGCTTCTCCACTCAGTTTTGCACATCCATGGATATTGCTGATACAGGCTGATATAGCCTGTTTGTTTATTGTCAGTTGTAGGGCTTGAACTCAGAGCCTGAGTGCTGTTCTTGAGCTCTTTGCTAGCATTCTACCACTTCGAGTGCCATTCCTAGTTTTCTGGTAGTTCATTGTAGATAAAAGTGTCAAGGACTTCCCTGCCTGGGCAGGCTTTGAACCACAGTCCTCAGATCTCAGCCTTCTTAGTAGCTAGGATTACCACTAGCACCCGGTTTAATCCCCAATCTTAACTTTGAGAATTGCAGTGAAGTATAAGGTAAAGGTTAATCTTTTACTTTCATATGGTTTGGGAAAAGTGTGGAATGAGAATTAGATGAAAATAATATAATGAAAAGAGAATAATCCAGGAGGCATTCTTTCTAGTTTAGGAAATCTCACACCTGACATAAAGTCATTCTTAGAATGGACTTACGGGAGGAAAATACCCAGAAATCAGTAATATAGTAGCCCTGAAAAAATTGCAAAATGAATTCACTTTTCTAAAGTGAATAGTAGTAGATCTATTTGAGAGAATCTATAATGAAAAGTCATCATCCTTTAATATATCTTTCTTTCTTAAGTTCCAGTTTAAATACACATCTATCTTTTTTTTTTTGACAGTTGTGAGGCTTGAACTCACAACTGTGAGCACTGTCATTGAGCCTCTTTGTGTTCAAGGCTAGCACTACCACTTGAGCCACACCACCACTTCCAGTTTTTGAGTGGTTAATTGAAGATAAGAGTCTTACTGGGACTTTTCTGTCCAGGGCTGGCTTTGAACAGAGATCCTCACAACTCAGCCTCCTGAGTAACTGGGATTAAAGGTGTGAGCTACTGGAGCCTGATGTCTTTTTTTGGTATATTTTTTTATTGTAAAAATACTGTACAGAGGGGTTATAGTTACATGAGCAAGGTAATGAGTCCATTTCCTATCCAGCATTGTTGCCTCCTCCTCCTTTGTTTTTCCCCTACCATCCCTTCCCTCCCACCTCCACAACCCCCCTTCCCCACTTTGCTGAAGTTGTAAAGTTTGTTTTCCACATAGTGTCTTGTACATCTCATTGTTACAATGGGTCAACCTGTATTCTTATTTAAGCATTTTGTTTTTTTCCCTTCCCCTCCCCAAATTAACGAAGTGTATGTACAAGAGGCAGAGCACTGGAATCAACTACAGTGAAAACAGGTGTTATACCATGGGGGAGAAACATACAAAGAAACAAAAAAAATCACATAGTACATTATAAATATGTTAGAAACAATACTTGTGTCCCTATCTTGGGGTTAATTTTGGTGCCTGATTTCTTTTTTTTAATTTAATTTAATTTTATTTGTGAACATACTGTACAGAGAGGTTACAATTACATTGGCGCCTGATTTCTATCTAAGTTTTTTTAAGGTAAAGTTTGCTATGGTAGCACTTTACCTTTTTAAAACACACAGGTAATCACCTTCATTTTTGTGTTACAGAGTTTAGAGAAAGAATAGGTAAGCATAAAGAAGAAAGGACAGTGGATAGGATAGATCATGACCTTATTTCAGAAGTTTGTATGATCTTACTAATTTGGTGTGTGTGTGTGTGTGTGTGTGTGTGTGTGTGTGTGTGTGTGTGTGTTCATGTGTGTGTTCGGCTCAAACCCTGGGCCTAGTGCATGCCAGGCAGTTGCTCTATCATCGAGCTATATTCTCTTAGTTTCACATGATGGGGACACACTAATCTTTAGTCTACAACTGTACCTAGCCAAACACTCATTCCAGACGGATTTTCAGAAGTGCACCTGGCAGAGGTGAAGAATATAGTGGCCAAAAAGTTGGAATTTGGCAACTGCCTAGGTTTGAGGCCTGGCTCTGGCACTTAAGGACTACCCAGATTAGGTCATATTCTTGAATCTCTTCAGGACTTAGGGTGCCTTATTTTTTATTTTTTGCCAGTCCTAGGACTTGAACTCAAGGCCTGGGCACTGTCCCCAAGCTTCTTTTGCTCAAGGCTGGCACTCTACCACTTGAGCCACAGTGCCACTCTGGCTCTTTCTGTTTATGTGGTACTGAAGAATCGAACCCAGGGCCTCATGTATAGTAGGTAAGCGCTCTACCACTGAGCCACATCCCCAGCTCCCCTCATTTTTTTAAAATGAGGATAATGAGATCAGTGGTAGAATACTTGCTAGTAGCCATGAGACCTGGAATTCAGTCCACAGAATTAAAAATGAATGAAAGAATGAATGAATGAATGAATGAATGAAAAGCAACTAATTAAATAAAGGTAGATAACAACAGTACTTATCGATTTGCATGATGAGAAGACATGTAAGCTACTTAGGCTTATAACAGGAAAGTGAGCTTCCACTTTTATTGAGTGCCTACTTTGTGCCAGGTACCATGCATGGATGAGTCATTCGGTGTTCATTATCATTTTCCTAGAAGGATACTTTTATCATTCAGGTCCTGAGTGAAATAGTAAGGTGCCAGGCCCTGCTGGTTTAGTAATGATGAGCTAGGTCATGCCTTTGCTCATGCTTTCAGGATTTAGGTTAAGTGTGAGGCAGGCCTGGGCCCTTCAATTCAGGGAAGGACCACAAAATGTAAGTGCTAGAAAGAACTTAGAATGAGTTCCCACCCTTCCTTACTCTTTACAAAGGAGAAAATAGAGTCTAGAGGATTTAGCGACTTCCCCGTGTCTCCTTAGTTAGCATAGAGGTGGGCCGGAATCCTGGGCCCCTGTTTCATGTTTCCGGCTCCTTCTATGATCACATACTGCCTCTGGCTTCCAGGCAGGGGTGGCTTGCTTCTCCAGTGTACACTTAGAAGCAGTTGCTTCAGAAAACACAATTGTTAATAATTATTTTCTTTCTGCATACAAGTAATTGGAGTATGTAGTTGCAATACATGGATACCTTGGCAACTTTTTTTTTTTTTGTCGGTCATGGGGCTTGAACTCTGGGCTTGGGCACTGTCCCTCAGCTCTTCAGCTCAAGGTAAGTGCTCTACCGCTTGAGCCACAATGCCACTTCTGGTTTTCTGGTGGTTTATTGGAGATAAGAGTCTCATGGACTTTCCTTGCCTGGGCTGGCTTTGAACCGAGATCCTCAGATCTCAGCCTCCTAAGTAGCTAGGATTACAGGCGTGAGCCACTGGTGCCCGGCTCCTTGGCAAGTTTTAAAATTGAAAAATGTCATGTTCTGGAGACTTTGCTTACTCCAACTGTTCTTTTTTTTTTTTTTTTTTTGTCAGTTGTGGGGCCTGAACTCTGGGCCTGGGCTCTGTCCCTCAGCTCTTTAGCTTAAAGCTAGCGCTCTACCACTTGAGCCACAGTGCCACTTCCAGTTTTCTGGTGGTTAATTGTAGATAAGAGTCTGATGGACTATCTGCCCGGGCTGGCTTTGGACCATGATCCTTAGAGAAGCCTCTTGAGAAGCTAGGATTACAGGCATGAGCCACCTGCGCCCAGCAAGATTCTTTTTTTTTTTTTCTTTTTTTTTTTTGCCAGTCCTGGGACTTTAACTCAGGGCCTGGACACTGTCCCTGAGCCTCTTTTGTTCAAGGCTAGCACTCTACTGCTTGAGCCATAGTACCACTTCTAGGTTTTTTTTTTGTTGTTGTTGTTGTTTATGTGGTACTGAGCTTCATGCATGCTAGGCAAGCACTCTACCACTAAGCCACATTCCCAGCCCCCCCCAGCAAGATTCTTACATTTACCAAATGTCAATTTTAGTCAGATTGCCAGATCATGAGATATATGAGTCTGAGGTTGTTTATAATATTATTAATAATAAAAATAATAATTATTATTATTGTCCTAGAGCTTGAACTGTAGGCCTGGGTGCTGTCCCTGAGCTTTTGTGCTCAAGGCTAGTGCTTTACCGCTTGAGCCATAGCTCTCCTTCCAGTTTTTTGTGGTTAATTGGAGATAAGAGTCTCACAGACTTTCCTCTCTGGGGCTTTGAACCTTGATCCTCCGATCCCAGCCTTCTGAGTAGCTAGGATTACAGGTGTGAGCCACCGGTGCTATTTTTTTCTTTACTTTTTAAAATTCCAAGTTGACATGTGAAGGGTAGGTACAGAGGATTCCTTACAATTTTTTTTTTGGGTCCAATCATGGGGCTTGTTGTACTCTGGGCCTGGGCGCTGTCCCTCAGCTCTTCAGCTCAAGGCTAGCGCTCTACCACTTGAGCCACAGCGCCACTACTGGCTTTTTTCTTTTTGCTTATGTGGTGCTGAGGAATCGAACCCAGGGCCTCATGCATGCAAGGCAAGCACTCTACCACTGAGCCACCTTCCCAGCCCAGGTACAGAGGATTCCTGACTTTGTAAAGGACTCCAGTCTTCTGAGCACTGTGACTAATCAGGTGACTGATGTGGCTAGAATGCTGATCTTTGTCTCTACCAGACTTGTCTCTGAATCACAGATGAGACCATAGCAGTGTTTGCCCACAAACTTTTTATTATGTTCAATAAAATGTCTGAGTACTGCTGGAAATCAAAAGCTTGCTATTTGTCGCCAGTACTTCTTTCTAGAAATTTCTGCCCCTTTCTCCCCTCCTGCACTGCCATTCTTAGTACTTATGGTACTTACTGCTTAGTACTTATGGTACTTACTGCTCTGTACTTGCTGTATAGTAGAGCCAGTGGAGAAGGGCGTACCTTCCCAGGTCAGGCAGATCTGGCTTGCTTTCTGTCTCTGCATTTTCTAGCCCAGTAACAACTGTTTAGCTTTGGCTTCCTCATCTGTTTATAAAGATACTGGTACCATCTTCCTGGTATTGTGGTAAGCATGACCTGGATGTTTGGCACAGCTAGGCACAAGATTGAGGATTTATTCCACAAATTACCAAGGTTGATAGTAGGAGAGGCAGGTTGCAAGTGAATGGAGCTCAGGATCCGGCCTGTGCTGCAGTTCACCAGGGTGACTACAGACAGCAAAAACGCTGTACAGTATGCTTTCCCAAAAAGCAAGAAGAAAGGATTTTTTTTGAGTGCTCTCACCATAAAGACAACAAAGATTGGAGGAAATACATGTTTTTCTCTTGTTTGAGCATCATGCATATGCCAAAACAACACATGATACTCTATATACACGAACAGTTTGTATTTGCATCAATTAAAGAAAAAGAATATCACCAGTGCACTGGTGATATCCCAGAGGATAATGGCTTTCCTCATCTTTGTGTGGGAGGCCAACAACCCACTGCTGGGGTTGGGAGTGTAGCTCTGCGGTGTGTGCTTGCATAGCATGTGCAAGGCCCTGAGCTTTCTCCACAGATACAAATAGTAACTCGTGATAATAACAAAGGAAGAATTTAAGCTGATTCTTTCAGCAGGCTTTTTTTTTCATATTCAGAACTTTGTACAGGGTTCCATTAAGCAGATTTCCCAGGCTTCTCTCCCTCTGAAAGACATTTTAGTTATGTGATCTTGGACACATTATTGAGCTACTCTGTGCCCAAGATATGGAAAGGATACAGCCAGCGTAACCATGAGAAGCTACAGGCATGTTCTAAGCTAACCCTTACTGAAACAGCAGGGCTGAAGTCTCCTCATTGCACTCAGGACCTCAATGACACTAATATCTATCTAGGAAGATGATTGTAAACATGAAGCAACTCATTCATGTTTAGCACCTGGCACAAAGTAGAGAGTCAATAAAAGTAGTAGTTCATTTTACTATAAGCCTAAGCACTTTATATGTTTTCTTCTTATATATGTTTTTTTTCTCATGCAAGCCTATGAGGTTGGTACTCTTGTTATCCTTATCACTAGATGAGGATTGGCCTCTCTTTCTATATCTATGTATCTATGTATATATCCATGTATCATATTCCATAATTGTATTATTATAATTAGTACAAATTACTCACTACTCTGTGTTTCATTTTCTTCCTTTGTAAAATGGAAATTGACTTTCTGATGGGGCCTGAGAATCACCCTTCCCTCCTTCTCTCCGCTCTCCCTTCCTCCCTTCCTTCCTTCCGTCTTTCCTTCCTTCCTTCCTTCCATCCTTCCTTTTCTATCTCTCCCTCCCTCTCTCTCCTTCTCCCCCTCCTTCCTTCTCTCCCCATTTCCTTTATTTCTAATTTTTGTACTTTTATTTGTATTTATTTTATATTTCATTTATTCTTATACATATTTGCTTCTTTGTTTCTCCTGGGATCTCTTTTTCTTGCAAACAGCTTTCTTGCTCGTGTAGGGATAGCATGTTTCTTTCATTTCTCTCTCTCCCTTCCTTCCTTCCTTCTTTTTTTTTTTGCCAGTCTCAGAGCTTGAATTCAGGGCCTGGGCAATGTCCCTGAGCCTCTCTGTGTTCAAGGCTAGCACTACCACCTGAGCCACAGCACCACTTCTGGCTTTTTCTGTTTATGAAGAATCCAACCCTGGGCTTCAGGCATGCTAGGCACTCTACCACTAAGCCACATTCCCAGCGCATCAGTGTGGGGCAATATCTTTTCAGGGCAGGAGGAGGGCAAGATATGAAACAGCCCCTCCCTGGTTCATCTGTGTGTTTTGGATGCTTTCTTCTTGGATGTGTTCGATCCACCAGAGAATTTTCATCTCACACTGTGAGATGAGATAATCACCCACGTATTGACAGCTACCAAGAATCCTCCTGGCCATTCCCGGGCTCTCTGCATCCTGGAATTTGTAGTCTTGGCTTTGATTTCAGAGAAAGTATTGCCATTATTATGATTATTTCCATATTGATGTTTGCAGGAGTGCTAACTGCAAAGTACACAGGTAGCAACAGATATCCCTCTACTTGGAAATCAGACTACTGTGGGACTGTGGGCTTTATCAGTATCTTTCTTCACGGCAGGCGTTCTTTTACATGTGATGGGAGATGCGCTGGGGTCTGTGATTGTGGTCATCACTGCTGTCATATTCTACCTACGTCCCCTGACCGCTGAAGCGCCATGTAACTGGCAGTGTTACATTGACCCCAGCCTGACCATCATCATGGTCATCATTATTCTGTCATCGGCCTTTCCGCTCATCAAGGAGACTGCTGCCATTCTGCTGCAGATGGTCCCCAAGGGAGTCGACATGGAAGAGCTGAGTAAGTAGACTGGGGACTGGATGCTGAGATGGAGTGCTAGTGCAGTTGGAGGGCTAGCATTGTGCAAAGTGCTGTTTGGTTTGTGCATTCTGAAACTGCCACGAAGATTTCCCTGGGTGCTTGGCAGCCTAGGAAGATGACGTGCAGCTCCAAGAACCAAAGGTCCTTGTAACCCAGGATGCTCTGACTTAGTCACACTTTTTTTTTTGTCAGTCATGGGGCTTAAACTCTGGGACCTGGGCACTGTCCCTGAGCTCCTCAGCTCAAGGCTAGCTCTCTACCACTTGAAGCACAGTGCCACTTCTGGTTTTCTGTTGGTTAATTGGAGATAAGAGTCTTACTATGGCCTTTCCTGCCTGGGCTGGCTTTGAACCATGATCCTCATATCTCAGCCTCTTGAATAGCTAGGATTATAGGTGTGAGCCACTGGTGTTCAGCTTGCTGTTGTCTTTGTAGGATTCAAGTTAATTCCATTATTGCCTGAGGACATTTTTTTGTATGATTTCAATTATTTACTTATTTATTTATTTAACTTATTTTTGTCCAGTCCTTGGGCTTGCGCTCATGGCCTGGGCACTGTCCTTGAGTTTCTTTTTCTCAAGGATAGCTCTCTACCACTTGAGCCACAGCTCCACTTCCAGCCTTTTCTTTTTATGTGTTACTAAGGATTCAAACCTAGGGCTTTCTGCATACCAGGCAAGCAGTCTATCACTAAGCCACATTCCCAGCCCTATTTCTAGTTTTTAAAAGGAGACTACATTTTTATACAGCAGAAACTCAGTTTTTATATAAAACAATACTATTTTATACATATTTGTTATGGCTATTATTATACATTGCTTCATTGGTGAGCCAGAAAACAGGGAGTAGAAGTTAGAAGATCTGTTTTATGATCTGCCTGATAGTCAGTCTATTTATTTATTTATTTTTCTATATATTTTTTAATTGTGAAAATACCATACAGAGGGGTTACAATTACATGGGCAAGGTAATGAGTACATTTCTTATCAAGCATTGTTGCCTCCTCCTTC